CAGGTACTGCTGCCGTTGTGGTAGCAGGTCTAATGGCTGCCACCAGGATAACGAATCGTGAACTTCACAAGCACAAGTTCGTATTCTATGGGGCTGGAGCCGTAGGTTTTCCTCGATTCCATTGTCCCTGGTTTTATTGTAGATCAAAGATTGGAATTTCAGGCAGCCACAGGGGTGGCGGAATTGTGCGTGAAGCAGATGACCGAGGAAGGTCTTAGCGAAGAGGAGGCATGTGCCAATATCTATTTGATGGACATAGATGGGTTGATCACGAAAAGTCGCATCAATAACTTGCAAGATCGTCATCTGAAGTTTGCCAAGGTGAAGTTGAATATGATGTGCTAGGATCATTATTGAAAAGAACCCATTTTAAAAATATTTACTATGTTGAATCGAAAAGAAGGGTGGAACATGAAAAATGAAAACACCGAACCAGTGGAGGAGAGAAAAGCTACCGGCAGCGCGCGTATGACTTTCGCGGCGATAGAGCGACGAAGAGCAGGACTAGCGCCGCCTTCATTGCCTCGGACGCTGAACTTCGCGTCCACTTCGCCGTGTTATCACTGCGGAAAGCGTCAGCCCACGAGGAGTGCGCGGTGCTGTTATGTTTTTCTGTGGAGCCACTTAGCATGGAGCGGTATGGCTGGAGGACAGAAATAGAGAGAGCAATCCTCTGTTGTTATTTGCACGAGTCCCTTATCTAGTATAACCTATACTCACTCCATATCTGGAGATGGAGAGGGGCGTGGCTACGTGCCTCACTCATACATGGCTGAAATGCGTGTTTCGTGGAGACCTCCACTCGAGACAACTGCACCTTGCGCTGAACAACAAGCTCGACAAAGATATGATTACAGTTGTCCCAAAACGGCAATAGCTCATCAGAAGCGCAGCCGCCACCACCTCCATACAGGGCGCACAGCCACGCCCTCTCCATCTTCGCGATATAGGGTGTACGTGTGCGAACCAAGAACAACTCAGCAAAATAATTAATTGTTGTGAACTTTAAGTTGTAATTTGTTCTGCCAAAGAGGTTGGTAGGTGGAAGACTTTATTATAAATGGCCGTTTCGACAGGATCGTCGTCCTCAGAGGCCAGTCCACCACCACATGAGCGGAACGATGCCACTCGCTGTTAGTTGTTAGTTAGTAAGAACTTACTGACTGGCCTCTGAGGACGACGATCCTGTCGAAACGTCAGGCCATTTAATAAAGTCTTCCACCTACCAACCTCTTTGGCAGAACAAATTACAACTTAAAGTTCACAATAATGCCGAGGTTTTATGAAGAGAGAAGCTGGACTCTATTAATTGTTGTATTTTCTCTAGTATGAGCACAGAGTTGTGTATTTTAGGATATGCCTGACACGAAAAACCTGCTAGAAGTAGTAAAAACCGTGAAACCGGATGGTATCATCGGTGAGTATCCTGTAGAGTGCTGAGAAACAGTAGTAAGCCTCAAAGTTTACGGTAGTGTTATCGACGAAGTCAGGCCTGCTATCAACTTCTTCTGGGGTGGGGGGGGGTACCGAGTAAAGCACAATGGTGGGCTGCCTCCGCCCATAGGACCCCTTTGAACTTACAGAATTCCAACAAACGGTCTGTTTCTTGCGCAGTAGAAGGAACCCATTTATAATAGTTCCCTAGTTTTCAATATTCAATTGAATCTGATATCCCAAAAAAGCTTATAAGATTAGGATTCAACTTTAGTAGATAACATCTCGAAGATTTTCAATTCAAAGGTGCATCCACTGTTGGAGGATCGTTTTCGGAAGAAATTATCACCGAAATGGCTCGTATCAACCCAAGGCCTATCATATTTGCCCTGTCGAATCCTACAAGTAAAGCAGAATGCACAGCAGAGGACGCTTATCGAATAACAAATGTAACTGCTTCCCTGATTTCTTTTTTTCGCTCTATTTTTAACCACTTCCTTTGAGGGATCTGTATTATTTGCATCCGGGTCGCCATTTGAAAATGTGGAAATGGACGGGAGAATTTTCAAGCCGGGTCAAGGTAACAACGCGTACATTTTCCCAGGTGTAGCACTTGGAGCGATTCTTTTCAAGGCCAAACACATACCGGACAAGGCTTTTTTACTTGCAGCACGTGTACGTTGAAGTCTTTTTATCACTAAAGTCAGAGTCTACGCTGGACTGGGGCGTAGTGCTGATCCACCAATAATGCACGAGACGTCTTCCCGGCCCCCAGT